AGCTAGGCGTCTGAAAGGCCACTATACTTGTCCCATTCAGCCACCATATCCTTCTTATATTGTACCACTACATGTCGTCTTGGCACCTCACAGGGCTGCATGTATCGCCTTCCTGGTACAGCTGTTCGGAGGTTGAAGGGTCAATCAAAGATCTACATTTTTGGTCTGTTATTTACATCGAGATTTTTGAATCTCCGAGTGGTAACATTACCACTTACGTAGCAGCCCGGAGTTGACAGAGTGACATTGTAATCGACCTTAAGGTCTGATTCTGCTGCCATGACAGAAGTTCAACTAGAGCAGTGCTTCTCAACTTCCTAATGCGGCAACCTTTAAATACAGTTCCTCATGTTGTGGCGACCCAGAGCTATACAATTATATTCGATGCTGCTTCATAGCTTCAGTAAATATGTGTCCTTTGATGGTCTTGGGGAAGCCGTGTGAAAAGGTCGTTCCACCCCGAAAGAGGTCGTGACCCACAGATTGAGAACCGGCGACCTAAAGGATCTGGCAGATCTTTTTTCAGTTCATCGAGAGTTGGGTTAGTTCGACGTTAGTCTCCTCAGTTAGAGTAGGTATTTTTTAATTTAGAAGTTTGTTGGGCTAGTCGACTTTCCTGCAGGCTACGGGTGTGTCCCGCCCTGTTGTTTGGTTTCTGCGATGCTTTGCATTTACGTTTTCATTCCGAGAACGAGAATGGCTGTGACATAGGTTTCAGCACTCACTAGAGAGGTTGGGTTAGACACAGTTTCTCCATGTTTTTGGAGTGTTAAAAGCGCTGGCGTGCTAAAATATATAACACGCGATATCAACGGCATTGCGGAACACCCCCCGTAACAGTGTGAAAGGTCACGGGGATCAGAAACTACCAATCAGAAGTGAGTTAGTGTGTATTTTGGCGGGATCTGGGGAGACTAACGTTGAACTAAGCGAGAGTTGCACCGAGACGAATCCCATCAAAGACATGAATCAACGCCAACAGAAAACGCCAGAGAGACATATCCAGGATCTAACCACCAATGATGGTCGTGTTAAAAAGTAATTGAGCTAATTCTACATGGAGTACTTCACCATGTGTTTAGTGTCAATTTCTAAAATGCTTTTTTTCTTTTCACTTTGTGTCCAATCAAAACGATATCACAGCCTGGCTATACACCACAAAACAATATGACAAGTGCCCCTTTAAAAGCTTAGAATAAGGAGAAGCATGCTTTGGCTTGTCAGTTTGTTACTGGGGCTAATAATGGAAGCAAAGTAACACTGAAAATCTACCTAGCTTATGGTAAGATACCATTAAGATAGGTTACCATGAGTGGGGTGGCGGAGGGCATGATGTCCGCCTCGAGTGCTAGAGATTCCGGGTTCAATCCTTGGTAAGGGCTAGGATTTATTTCACGTGGACTTGGACTTCTAGTAACCCCCCCCCCCCCCCCCCACCCCCCCCCCGGTCTCTGGGTAGTGAGATCGGACGCCTGAGTGTATTGTTACGCGCGAAAAAAATCCAATGACAGTTGGAAAACGAAAAGATTAGCCTAACGGCGCTGCCCGGGAAAATCTACGTGAAGTATTTCAGGTTCCTCGCCGGTGCTACGGAGCCCGTGCACAGCGATGAGCTACTTCGGGCTCAGACTTGAGTTAGAAGTAGAACGGAGCACTTATGGTTTACTTTCCGTGTGCCAAGATATTGATCCGTTGTTCAAACCTCAAACTTCAAAACAGATTTTGTTCCTCTAGGAATTTTAATTCAGCGGCTATTGATTGCCATGCTATACATGCGGTGTGTCATGTTTTTTTTTTTTTCTCCCCATCCCACACAATCGACAGAACTAGTCGCCATGATGTAGCGGCTTGAATCGGAAATTTCCTGTTCTACAGTTATCAGTTGAACGGCTATAAATGCAGTCTGCCTTCGAAAATGTGTGTATATATCCATGTATATATATTTCCATATGTGTGTATGCAAACGCGTGAGCGTGCAGCCCCCTCCCCAACGGCCGTCACTAGGAACAAGAAAGAGTACCGCTCCAAGCCACTAGTTTAGGTGCAATTAACATTTCTTAGCCAACATAATTGGCACAATAAAACAGACTACAATTATAACTTATACTGTTTGCAGTAGGTTGAACGTTTTTTTTTTTTTTTTGTTGCTGTTTTTTTTACATAAATGGGTGGATGAATGAATTGTTTCGATCCCACACTATCAGCAGAGGGAGCCGTCGTGGTGTAGCAGCTAGGCGTTCGCCTGCGGATAGGAAGGTCGTCGGTTCGGGTCCTGACGGAACCGGGCTGTCTTCAAAAATAACCTTGGCTCCCAGGTCAACCCAGCCCTGGGTTGGGACTAAGTGCAGCTCTGGGAAGTAAAGGCCACATTACCCACGAAGTGCCGATTCGTCTTTAAAATATAGGTCTAGCCCTATGTGCCCAATGCGTCTGAAGGCATGGAAAAGGGTCATTTTCTGTACTTTTACAATCAACAAAATCACAGATCACGTCAGTGACCCGTCGACGTGACAAAATCATCCATGACTTCGCCTCTTTGCGCTAACATAGTCTCCCCTCCCCTCCTTCCCCCCTCATCAATCTTATCGGTCGTCAGCAAGTTTCTAAGACAAAAAGCAACGGCAAACTTACTAATTCAAGATGTCAAGATAAATCATGATTCCACAACTTACAAATTTATTTCAAGGTAGAGGAAGAGAGAACTGAGTGTCAAGCCTAACCATATTCATCACAGTCATCATCTTTGTTCTATAGCGCTCGGCGTTGCTGGATAGCTAGTTACTGTTGACTGATCAGACCCCCCCCCCCTCCCCCTGAAGATCAAATGCTATTGCCCCCGTGTAGGTTCCGTGGCCTTACTATGGGAAAAACAAGAATAGACCCACTGCTTACCCAAAAGCATGTCGTAAGAGTCGACTAATTGGGAGTTTCACTCGAAGTCGGAGTGCATCTGCCTGAGAAGCAAGGAACCAACAGTCTGCATACAGATCTGTCAAACGGATGCACACGCAATACTCAGGCTCTGGAACAGGACTGCAGTCCAGAAGTGGACGAACAACCAGAACTTTCCGCCCGAGTACACAGCCGGTGAACACGAAGGAAAAAAAAAAGAAGATATGCTATGTACGTGACACAGTTTGTATCCCTAGGATTTTCTCGGTCTGACTCTCCACCTCAGTCACATTAAGTTCCGTTTCGCTGCTTGTCTGGGGGGTGGGGGGTGGTGTGAAAAAAGGGGGGGGGGGAAATAAAGAAAATATCGTCCCGTTTAACCAACATTCCTAAGAGGGAGATTTGGGTTATAATTGTGACTAGTTTATGTGATCCCTATAAAATGGCTTAACATTGCACACCACCAAGAACCACAAAAAGGACTCCTGCAGTGTTGATGCGAGAAGACAGACCAAAATACAAAGTCGTCTACCGGCAAGCTAATCGGTGACTTGGTCGCCGATGTCTCATTACGTAATAAAATCATTTACAATAAACATACTCTTTGCTAACTGTATTCTAATAATTCGGTAACATTTACTGTTGCTGCGATTTCTTTAAAACATTTATTGCATATAGTAAGTAACTACATGATGATGTAGCTTGGAATTTGGCAAACAATTCTTGGTGATTCTTTATTTATCGACATTCTCATGTAGCTGGTAGCACAAACGACATTCACAGGTGAGTTCCATAGCTGCTGTTCTGTTCCGTGGAATGCATGCCACTTTGCACTCCTTCATTTCATTTTCTAGTGTATTTTTCCGCTTTGATTGAGTAGGCAAATTCCGGTGAATCTAGAAATGAGAAGAAGAATATGGAGTTATAAACGATACGTTGATAAAACCTGAAAACAGTATATCTCGAATGTATCTGCACTGTAAAAAGCAGTGTCAGATAAATAAAGAAAGGGGAAAAGAAGGAGAAGAGAACGACACTTACAAGAACTAAATCTTGGGAGAACAAAGGGTGCAATGCGGAGATTGAACGACTTGACTGCTTGGAGAGACAGGGCAGAAGATAAAGGGGAGAATCAATTACACAACGCTTTCAGAACCCCTTGGCGTATTTGACACATAGCACCATGTATTGTAAACAAGTCATCACTAGTCTGGAGAACACGTGAAGGAGGAGGAGGAACAAGAGGTGCAGGAATGAGGAGAAGGTGGTGAAGGAGGAGGAGAATTTGATCGATAAGGAAGAGGTAGCAGAAGAAGAAGAAGAAGAAGAAAATGGAGAAGAAAAAGGAGGAGGAGAAGAAGAAGAAGAAGAAGAAGAAGAAGAAGAAGAAGAAGAAGAAGAAGAAGAAGAAGAAGAAGAAGAAGAAGAAGAAGAAAAAGAAGTAGTGGTAGTAGCAGCAGCAGTAGTATCAGGAGCAGTACCATGAGCAGCTGCAGTATTAGCAGCTACTGTTTCAGAAGCAACAGTAGTAGCAGCAACACTACCCGGAGCAGCTGCAGCAGTAGCAGTTGCGGTACCAGAAGCAACACTACCAGGAGCAGCAGTAGTAGTAGAAGCAAGACTATACAGAGCAGCTGCAGTAGTAGCAGCAACACTACTAGGAGCAGCAGTAGAAGCAGCAAGACTACATGGAGCAGCTGAAGTAGTAGCAGCTACTGTACCAGGAGCAACACTACAGTGAGCAACAGTAGTAGTAGTAGCAGCTGTAGTGGCAGAAGTAGTAGCGCTCAGCATGTCCGAATCATAAACAGCTCTTAACCGACGCCAATGATCGGACCACGACTGCATGTAAATGGAACAGGAAAAAGCTGTTACAAAGCCACAGATGAACCAGTGCATTTAAATGCTTGTGCATTGCCCACTTTCGGTACGCAAGTTCAGACATGAGCCGTTTAATAGAATATCTATGCATTTACAGTTAAACGGTCTTCTACGTCGCAGCTGTAACTGCAGCGGAAAGTTTTGGTTGTTCAACCACTTCCGGACTTTGGTCTTGTTCGAAAACTTGAGTACAGCAGTAACACGCTTGGTCTT